ACACACACACACACACACACACACACACACACACACACACACACAAAGAAAAAAAAGCCTTTATCTGCTGAATATGACAAAATATGAGTCCTGAAATAAATACCGTATCATTTCCTCCTGGTAAAGAGAGCTGACTGCTGCTCCTCCAAAACCTGTTCTCCTTTCTGCTCCTCGTCTTTCCTGTGAGAACAGAACACTATTCAAAACCCATTTTACACACAGTTAACAGTCAAAGTTAACACTTACAGGTAAAAAAACCACAGTTCACCAACCTGCTGTGGCTTAGTTCAGCAGCTTATCCTCTATGGGCAGAGGTTTTGACCTCACACTTCTCCATAGACCTATTACAATAGAGTTGGCCCCATCTATTCACCATGAATAGCTCCACCTGTAGCCTCTTACTCGGTCCTCAAATGCATGTTAATTTCCAAATGTACACTTTTACAAATAAATACATAAAAGCTCCCACGGGCTTTGCACATGACCTCATCACTAGTAACAAACAACATGAATACAAACAGAATAAAAACGTATTGCTAATTTGTGACTCTTCTTAATGTTCAGTATTTTTCCCCCCATAAAACTCCACATTACATTCAGTTCAACAAAGACTTTAATACTCAGACCTTTCTTTTCCGTCCAGCCGCAACTCACAAAAGAAGCTGCACAAATCTGATTTCAGGGACCAGGGAGAGTGGGGCTAACGGGGCAGGAGGAGCAAAACAACTGCAAGTGCACTTTTGAGACAAACTAATTCACTTCAGAAACTCGGAATATTCGCTGATGCACTGGCCCTGCTCCCCTGCACTATAATGCAATAGAAAGCCGGTGTCTGCTCAACAATTGAGAGGGGAACAGAGGTCAAATTGTGGCTATTCTTCTCTCCCCTGCTTCTCTATCTATGCACTCCGACTTACACCATTTAACTGCGCTTCCAGAAGAATAGCTGCTGCCATGCTATGACGCTTTGTTAGCACTAATGAAATCAGGTTCTTTTTTTTTCTTTTTTTTTTTTGGTGGTGGGGTACGTGCATTTGCTGGACTGTACTCTGTTATTGAGCAACTGTGAGGCAGAGTCAGCAAGTTATTTCCCCACAAAACAGCCAAAGAGAAACGTTGCAGACACTGTTTAGACAAAAGACAAAACGAGGAAGGGGAGCATAAAAAGGATGGGATAAGAGATGAAAAGTGGTGATAGGGTTTAAGAAGAGCAGGAAGAGAGATTTAAGGTGCACAATGAAAAAAAAGAAAGTGATAGTAAAAACAAAAGGCACACGTAAATATCATTTTAAATATTTCTTTGCTTTTTTGTTCTCAAAGAAAACACAGCTGAGCATGGTTCTTTAGTTTTCTGAATTTGAGTACAGTACTCATTTTTAAAGAGTATAACAAACAGAGTTTAGTGATGAAGCGTACAGAAAAAGAAAGAAAAAATAGTTTTTAGTGTTGCAACTTTTGTGAAAATGTATTGTTTTTGTAAAAAGTAAGAGTTTATTTTCACCTCATTTTAATGGTGCTTCTTAATGTATCTATCATTATGTTCAGTGCTTTAGTTCAACAAGCACTCATGTATAAACACATCAGAGATACAAGGTATAACGTTGTTGTTGGAACTAAATGTGCACTCTGTTGCCTCAAAGGACAACTTGTTCGTGGTACGACTCTCCAGGCACAGTTAAATAACATGGCACAGGAGTGCAAAGAGAAGCAAACAGTCACATATAAACTGGAAATTGCTCTGTGACAGTTTTATATACCATAAAGTCAACTAAAGAAGAAAACAAACCAAAAAAGAAAAAAAAAATTTTTTGTGTGTTTAATGCGCATAAAAAAATAAAAAAATTTAAAAAGCTGGAAAAATAATAACAATGCAACACTGACATCTACTGGCAAAACACTGCATTACACCCATCCTCAGCAGAAATGACTGAAGGTTGTTTGACATTCTTTCATGTTAGTGTGTGGACAGGGAAGGCGAATTATAAGACCCTGAGCTGCACATGAATTTAAATTATTATTTAGCACTGTTTTATAAGGTTATCAGGGGGGTTTTAAGCAATATTTTCATGGTATAAGAAACAGTCGTCGTCGGCTCAATATCATTAAATGTGACAAAACAGACAGAATAAAGAGTGCATATGTAAGACATATTTAAAGCTCCAGCTGCAGAACAATAAATATGTCTGAAACCCTTAATAAACTTGAATGACTTAATTTTAAGTTTTGATTTTTAAAACAAGTACCGATCTTTCAGAAACGGTTTGTGTTACCTTTGTGCTGCCTTCAGGGTCTAACACATTCACACAGGAAATGTACTCTCGCATCGCCTGTTCCGTGTCCATGTCTCCAAGCTGCTTCCAGGCTTGCCTGTTAAGATATCAGCACATCAGGGGTGAACTGTGCTATACATTTGAATAAAAAGTCTCCTAAACTCATAAAAATTCCTAACAGTCTAACAGCATGATTGCACAAACACTGTGAATGCAAAAGTCCCATTAAAAATTTGTATTAAATATTGAACAAGAATGTAAAAGAATACTTTTAAGTATTTGTAACATTAATGTATTCTGTTTATATTTTCTGAGGTGGGCAACTTATTTGTCTATATAGTTTCTCTTTTTATGTTCATGCAAATAATTCTGTACCTTTTCTCTTTCTTACACACAAACAAACCAGTTAATTTGAAATATTATAACAAACTGGTCCTTGTGAGCTTCCAATAAATTCCCAGCTTTATCACAATACAATATTATATAAATTTGTTTCGATGATGATACGTTTCTCGATATCACAAAGTCCGTCATGATACGATTTATTTTCAAGTAAATTCACAAGTCTGTGATTGATATGATTTGATATTATATGTCTATGTAACACAATTACATAATATTTGATGGGCACATGATATCGATCCACGTGACAATATGGATCGATGTTTTTGTTTTGCCTTAATGTAATCGAATCCTTAATCACTGAATTGATATGTCGATGTGGATTAAGGCATAGTTACACCCCTAACATTAAGGCAACATGAACATACCATTTTCTCTGTCCTTCAAAATCGAAAAAGCCAGGCTTCGCTGTGTTGCACTTTCCCACTTTTACCTGTTAAAAAGAGAAAATTAATTAGTTGATTTAAATGAAATGTGGTGCATGAATTTACAATCAGTTTGTGGTTGTTGTTTTATCTGCAGTTGCATAGGGTTAAAAACTGAATCAGACCCTCACACCCTTTCTGTCATTAATCCTGACCTGTTTGTAGCGGGCGTACAGGTACAGCAGCTGGTCCCTGCTGGCCGTCTGGATCAAATCTCCCACACGGTCGGCTGCAGACTCGAACTCCCTCTCCAGCTCGTCTCCCTCCATCTGATCCCCCATCTCCATGGCGCTACAGTCAAACTTACTCAAGTCCGAGTCCGAATCCGAGCCAGCTCCGCCGAGGGGCTCGCCGGTGTCGGGCCGGGCTGGATCCGTACCGGAGCCCGTCGCAGTGTCCGGAGAGGACGACGGCGAACCAGAGGCCATTGTTATTGGTAAAAACCAGCCGTCTCACACCACGACCACTGTAATTAGCCCTGCTGTGAACAGAGTTGCTGTCAGATATAGATGTGTCAAGTGTTTCCGACTTGGTTGCGTTTTTAATCCGTTACCGATGAGATTCCTTAGAAGTCGGACTTGTTTCTACAGTTAGTCCGTCTCTGGTACGATCATGTAAAGGGACCGGCTACATTTTCTCCGTGAGAAAGGTTCCGGTGTTTGCTCAATAAAGTACTAGCGTGCCAGTAGGTAACTGTGTTGATTGTAAAAAAAAAAAGGGAAAAAGAAGAAGAAGCACTGATATTATCTGTACTTGTATACACAAATGTGTGTACTTTAAAAATGTATTTTTGTGTATTTTCTAAACTCAGTTGTGTCGTTTAAAGTGAGCTGTTTATTGGCTTCTAAGTTTTCCCTCTCTGATATGAATGCGTTAGAGCTATTTTCAGATTGAACTTCACATCTAGTGCTAAGGTAGGTAGAAAGTTTTTATAAATAAATAATGTTGGCTAATGTTGCATGTTGACACTTTTACAAGTAAACAAGAGAAGGTGTTTGTAGCACCGTGTGTCCAGCAGAGGACGCTATTAACAAAAGAATTACTGCATTGCGTTGCCAAAGAGTTGTTTCATTCAGGGTTTGACCACATGTATTAAAGCAGCAATAATCTAAACAGGAGAACTTTAGTTTGAGTTGAAAAAATATATAGGCCTATTGAGGTTTTTGCAAAAAAAATACTTGTATAATAACATTTTGACTTAGGCCTATTGATGTTATTTTCATCTGTAACCACAAAATAAGCATTATTTGCTTCAAAAACACAATCTGAGTAGAAAAGAGGTTAGTTACATTTTTTCCAACATTTATAAT